CAAGAGAGAAAGGACCATTTTGCTCCTGGAAAGACACTGGTTGATAATGCCATTCGATGATAAAAATTAGCTAACCTTTAATGATTAATAAGTAGGGATTTTGGTACTTGGTAGACTGCTTTAGATCATCATTGAATGCATATTTGTTAACATATAATTTACTATGATATTAATAATGAAATCATAACCTTAATTAGGATAAATAACCGGACCATAAATTGTAAATTGAGATCTGGTGAAAAGACTTATAAACTTTATAAATTTCTTGTTTATATCGTGTTATGAAGGTATAAATAATTTGGATCAGAAGAAGAGGAGATGTGATATAAATAGCAAACAATTGGTTTTTTCCCCCTCTTAACTATAATAACGAGAAGGAAATGTTAATGTATACTTTTGGTGATTATCAACTAAAAATGTCAACATCTTTCAGATTGTCTTAGATTTTAAATGGTTATTTTGTTAACACTTAATAAATTTCTCTTTAGAGACAGTTATAAAGGTAAATCTCTCTTGGGCCTGCAAAGGGAAGAGGTGAGAAAAATAGTAAATAATTTTTAGTTAACTACAATAACAATAAAGAAATGTTAATGGATAATATTTAATGATATATACTGGTGTGTTGTACTGGTAAAAACAAAATGAACAGAAGTGTTAATCTGTGAGTTTTTGGGGGGGGGAAAGGAGAGGGAATGTTAGATATCCTTTTATTTGACTTTCTTTTAGAATATGGTATAAAGATGTAAAGTTATGGCAGATTCATTGTGACTGGGAAAAACAAAATGCCAGTAGGTTGGTTGTGTCGTTAAAACCCTAATTAAATGAAAATTGTGATATAGTGATAGTAAAATATATAAATTATATAATGTACAACCTAAACTGAATGAAATATATGTAATGATTGTGGAAGAAATGCACGAAATATACCTGTAACCAATGGCTTTCTACAAGATGCAATGTAAGATGATTTTTTCTTTTGTGTTTTTCTTTAACAAAAACAATAAAAAAATTATAAAAAAAGAGATGGCTGGTGGCTGTAAGCGCAAGTGTGGAGAGTTGCTTAACAGTGAACGTCTTCCTCAAAGGCTGCTGCTGCCACCGCCACCTTCTCTTTAAAGGGCACTTCATTGGAAGACGGCTCTAACTCCACCTGCAAAGCACTGGGAGGGGGGGGGAGGGGGCTGGACTACGCGAGGTGCCCAATTCCTCCCGAAAAGGATAGCAAGAGAGTTATGTATGAAAAGTTTCTTTTTTCTCAGAGTACCAAAGCAGTTGAGCAGAAACTCATGTTTTAAGTTCCCTTCAATGGACTATTGCTGTCTTCTCAGACTGCTGTTTGTTGCCGTATCCAAATATGCTTCATGCACCATTAAAAGAGCTCACAGGGTGTATTTTAAATACTACTCAGCTCATTCACTCCATGCAGCACTGGATTTCAATGGGTGCAGGAATGAGAGAGAGGGGCATTCTTGCGCCATGCTAGGGATTAACAGCAACTAGCCAAAAGCAAGAGGGGAGAGTGCCCTACATCAAGCCAAGGGGATGCTTCAAAAGCATGCAAAGGCCAGTGAATGTTCTGACAATGGCCAGCAGACATGCTCCCAAATGGCGCAGCAAGTGCCAGTCAACCCTCAGGGTTAGGAAGCCCAACTGGGGGTCCCAGTGATGAACTTCACTAGCTCTGCTGGTCAGGGCCTGAATGGAAAAGACCAATGAGCTGTACCTTATTCGACTCCGTGTTGTAGGAGTGACCGATGCTGTTGGTGAAGATGAGAGTGACAGTTGTGGCGAAGCGGTCCCAATTGCTACGAGGGAGGCTGGAGATGTTCCATCGGGAGTGGTCATCTCCCGTTTGATTTCTTCACTGCTTCGGCGAGACACTTGGATGGAAAATTGGAAAGCCTGGTGTTCAATTTCATACTGGATCTTACATTGGCAATCTGAGCATTTTAGTACCGTTTACAACCCCACCCAGTAGGTGTTGCCACCCCTGAGTTTGGTCAAAGAAGTAAGATCTAGGCTTGTTCCTGAACTTCAAAGGACAAACTCTAAGGGCTTAAGATGTTATTTAGAAAGAAATTGCACTTACTCTACTGATCTAGATCTTAAGTTGTAGAAGTTCTATTCCACACACATCTCAAAATGTGTTTGGTGAGGAACAAATCTCCTGTGTCTGCTTTAAATATCTATTCTTCTGTCCGATTACAAACAGAGGAATATCACATAGCAATAACCATTTTCTTTACATATTACCCCTTAACTGTGCTCCCTGGGATTAGATAAAAGCTAAGGTTGAGATTCACCCATTTCTATGTGTTATTTCACAAACCACCAATATTATAATGAAGTGGCCCTTCATACCAACATATCCAGAAGTCCTTTGAACACTCTTACAAATGGACATTTTCTAAGGGTGTTCACAGCACAGTATACAAATGGCTTGCTTCCCTAGTACCCATCATTACCCCATTATTACCAGAGAGCGATTTAGCACTTTCCATAGCAGGAACTCTTGGCAGAGAAGCTGGTCTGCTGGTAGAAGAAGTTCTCAACAAATGATCTGCACAGAAAGGGAATGAGGAAACGTCACCTCAACCTCAGCACAAGACCTGACCTGATCCTGCCTACAGGGAGAGATGGCAGAGTGGATGACCCAGTACAATAAAGACAGAGTACTTGTGTGTATGAGCATATGTTCACATATGTGCAAGCTGGCTTACTGCTCCATATGTGGTGGGTCCCAAACTTGAGACTTAAACAAAACTTTCATCTAATGCTGCCTTCAGCTATGAAGAAGTGGTCACTTGGGCTGAAAGACAGACTTTTTCTGATGCTGCAACTTGGCTGGGAAATTACTCTGCAAGCAAAAATTGGCTTTTCTTTTCTCTCAGATACATTCTTCCACGGGCTGGATATACTTTTCTTCTACTGAGAACCTTATTATGTCTCAAATTGTTAGCATGCATACTGTAGCTTCTTTTCTCTAGCTTATCATCCTGTTTTCATTGCACTGTATTTGTTTAATTTTAATTTAGGGATGCATTTGTTCCAAATCACACTGAAAATTATTTTTCAATTAAAAGAATGGGATAAAAAGTGATTAGGTAAAATAAACCAAATGATACTGCATAAAACCCAGGTATGTAGTATTTTCTGATTTGGGGCAGAGCGATGCAAGCATGTGGCAGGCCCTTTCCCATTTCTGTATAGAGTATAATATATTTGGATTCCAATTTACTTTCCCGTTTATATTAAATAATGCCAATGGCATTCAAAAAACAACTAAAAAGGACTAAAACAAAGTATTATTTTAAGTGGTGGAGGAATTTCTATTGTTGATGCTTTGCTGTTATTTGTCCAAGTTCAAAAGGAAGCCTATTTCTTGTTCACAAGAAAACTATTCTTGTGAAAGTCTATTTTAAAAGCCCCAGCCATAAATCAAAGAGCTACACCCAGATGTGAAAACCATTCATTCTTACCGGAAGGGGCCTTTGAAAGGAAAAGTTGATAAGTAAACCTACCAAGCACCAGAAAAATATTTGGAAATGGAGAAATAAATATTATAGTTCACTATTGTCTCATTTTTTGTTCAAGAAATACTGTCCCAGTAGAAGCAAAAGTGAATAAGGAAAGTAGATTGTATACAAGATCTGTGCAGGTGTGGTATGAAGAAATCTCTATATAGAGGAACATTTGAATTTGGATTTTCCCCTCATTAAACACACAAGTCAGGCCCCTTCTGAATAACCTTCCAAAAGCAGCTCGTTCATATGTGTAGAGAAAATGGTTTCTAAAATGCTCCACTGGTAAAACACAGCTTTTGGGATCTCATCCCAACCACTTTCGAAGTAGAATATCTTCATCAATAGGACTTTCCTAAGAGGAAAGCCTCAGCATAGGGCAGAAGGGATCTGTCCCAGAGGTGGCATTCAGCCAATTCGCACTGGTTCGCGCAAACCGGTAGCGGAAATTTGGCGCAGGTCACTGAACTGGTAGCGACTGCTGGCTGGTCACGCCTCCGAACCGGTCGCTTGGTCACCGGTTGCTCACTCGCCCACCCTGCCCGCCCGCTTGACACTCACTCACCCTGCCTGTCCAACTCCTGCTTGCCTCGCTGATCCCATTATATGTTGCTGTCAGCCTCTATTTTGCTTGCTTACTATCAGTTGCCATAGAAATGGGGAGGGAGGGGGCTTGAGGTATTTAGGATGGGATTTTCTGGTGCTGGAGGAGTTATCAGGAGGGAGTTTAGTTCTCACCATCTTCTGCACATGCTGATGGCTGGTGGTTGGACTTGGTCAAGGTCAACCATCTCTGCATACCAACTGGATGAGGTTTTTTGAAGATGCACCCAACATGACACCTTAGGGAGTTGCTCATCGGGTTGGGGTAATTGGGGGGAGGGTGATGGGCAAATATTTGATATGTACACGTTCGCGCCATTTTGGCTCAGATCTACCTTTCCTTTTGCTGCTTTCTTTTCATAACCAGTAAAAGTATCTTTATCTCTACAAAAGTGGAGTTGGGCGTTTTCTTTCTTGGTTATTGGAGGAGGCACGCTTGGCAGTTGCCTTCGCTTCGCCATGCGGCTCAGCCACACATTTCACCAGTCGCCTCCGCACTTCGCTAGTCACTCCGCGCTTCGCCCGCTCTGCTCAGCTCACTAGTAATCATGTTGCCCGCTCACCCTTCGCCTTGGGTTAGGTGCCGGTGCCCCAGGGATGCGTCATTCCTTGAGACCCCAGGTAATGCGCCATTCCCTGGCTCTGGCTTTGCCGAGCCACTGCCTGCTCTCCCTTCGCAATTCGCACACATCGCCCTCTTTCCCCCTGCTTCCTTCCTCATCACACCACCTGTGTTTGGGCTGCTTAACTACCTCCGGTAGCTTTCAGTGGCCCCCGGCCAGCTGCCACTGCTGGAAGCGGCTGGCAAAGAAGCCTCCCAGTTGCCGCTTCTATGAGAGCCGCTTTGTGGCTGCAACGGCTGGCTGGCGGCTGCCGAAAACTACTGGAGGTCAGCTTGCCTTTTGGAGTCCAGACCAGATGCCGTGGGAGGAAGGTAAGTACCCCAACCAAAGAGGCGGTGGTGGGGGAGGAAGGAGGGCTAGGGCCGGGGCTGCTGAAGGAAGGGAAACGAGGTGACACGTGCGACTGGCGAAGGGAGGGTGGAGTGGCATGCAGGTAGATAGGTAGAAGTTCAAAAAAAAATCCTACCTTTTTCTGTGGGCGTGGCTTGTGAGGGGTGTTATGTGACTGAGTTGCGTAAGTTTCATAAAGTTAGCCATGCCCACTCAGTCACATGATACCCCTCCCCCACCTAGCCACGCCCAACAAACCGGTAGCGAAAACCACTGATCTGTCCCGAAGTGATTCCTTTCCAACAGAAGTGATAGAATGCATAAAGCCACGCAAAGTTTTTCTAAACAGGCAACTTTAGCATCACTCCAGGAATTGATGTGTTTTTAAAACAATCACGGGGGAATTGGCTGAGGGAACCTTTTGCCTACTGGAGCAGTGAAGTGTCTCGCCTTTGGGCTCAGCCATCACCGGAAGACGCTTCCAAAGACAAACCATTCTCTTGTACTGGAAGGGTCCAGAAGACAGACAACAAGCCACAATTTAGCCCAGCCAGCTCTTAAAAGATATTGCAGGCTGTCAGTGACTCCACCTTGGGGTAAATCTTCCTTCTGCAAAGGTCCTCCCAGCTCAGCCCCCATCAGTGCATGTTTCTGAATTATGGAAACGTCTGGAGGATTCTAAAAATGTGCCTGGTGATGTTCATAGCAAAAGACGCTTCATACCTTGAACTGGAATTTCCGCATAGCTGGACCTTTTGTCTGATAAAGTTGCAAGCGGCTTAGGAGAAGAGATTGGTCCACTGATGGAATGTCTCTAAAGGGGGGAAACACAACTGTTGTCATTCACCACTTGAATATTATGCTCCTATCTGAATTTTAAAGACATCTCCAAGAGAGGCACCACTAACCCCAGTAGGTCATTATGATTTAGCTGAGCAAGTAATGGCAGAAGATCAGGCTCAAAACTAGCCAAACCATCAGTTTATGCTGGACTCCCAGTCGTGGGTCCCTCACTAGGGAAGATAAATGACTTGTTCCAAAGATTGTGGTTGTCGGGCTTGGCTGGAGACCTTGTTTCAAGATTCCCTAGAGGGTAATTGAGTATTTTAATTATATTGTAATCATCACATTCACAGTGCTGAAGACTGAAGCTTTACGGAACCCCAGGAGAGAAAGTCATGATCTTTGGGGGAATCATGCTCCAGAGAGGGGCTTCAACAGAGAAGGCACCCTGCTCAAGTCCCACAAGATGCCAACGTTTAATGGAGGGCACCCATTTAGTGTACTGGGTAGGCAGAGTCAGTTAGGGACAAGCCAGTCTCTCAAGTATTATGCAGATACTCCTTGCTTAACGACGGCCCTATTTAGTGATTTTTCAAAGTTACGATATTGCTGAAAAAGTAACTTTATGACCAATCTTCACATTTACAACTGTTGCCATATCTCACACTCACAAGATCTGCACAGTTGGCCATGTGGAGGCAATGGAGCAGCTGGCAATAAAATTGTGCTCAAGTCATGTCTTGCTTAATGGCCGTGTTACTAAATAATCAACTTGCCCTCTCAATTTTGGCTGTTAAAGAAGGACTTCCTGTATTGCTGGTATTCCTGACTAGGGGTGCTTGCAAAAACAGGAACAAATAACAAGCTAGAGCAATGAGGGAGAATCTTTTTGACACCGAGTGCCCAAACTGGAATGTGTGTGCATGCCAGAGTGCCGTAAACTCAAAGACGAGGTGGCCGGTGCATGGATGTGTGCGTCAGCCAGCTGGTCTTCGGGTTTACAGCACAAATGTGCACTGGCCAGCTGATCTTTGGGTTTCTGGTGGTCCGGCGCCCATCAGCACCAGCTGGTCAGAGCACATGGGCACGCTGGAAACTAAAAGAGCAGCTGGCAATGGCGTGCCTGCCCACAGAGAGTTCTGCATGCTGCCTCTGGCACGTGTGCCATAGGTTTGCCATCAAGGAGCTAGAGGGTTTGCCCCCATTTCTACTTCTCACACAATCCAATGCTGAAAAGGCTGCCCGATTTCTGATCTCAGGCACTGCAGTTCTGATTGTTCCAGTTAATCATGGTTTGTAAGGAGTTTTAAACTAGCATGTCTTACTTTGGGTCTCACTGTTTTCCTAACTGTGGCTCAGTAAAGAAGGCTGTCCCCTTTGCAGCCTAAGAAATAGGTGGATTGTCCCCTCTAGGAGACCTTCAGACAGGTGAAGCCACATGGCCAGTCACGGCTTCTCCAAAGAGACAGCAGGAGGTACACAACTCATGTAGTTTGGGCACTATTATGGGAAGCCAATGATAAATAATACTCTTTCCTGAAAAACATTCTGGGTTTGTTTCTTGGCATAAGGCTATTGCTGTTGCTAACCTGCGCCAGGCCTGATAAAACCTGTTGATGCACTGACCTGCATTGGGGAGACAGCGGCTGCCGGAGGGGTTTTCAAAGGACTTGGGCTCAGTGGAGTTCGGGGGACTGTAGCTCCAGCAGGACTAGGAACTATGGAAGAAGAAGAAAGCAGCTCCAGATTTATATCTAATGGCATAAATAACCTAGCAAGAAACCCTCTTCACCTTTCCTCATACCAAGGAAAGAGAAACAAGCATGGCTGGCAAGAAAGTTCAGCTCCCCCTGGAGAGTCGTCACCCTCTGGGTGTCCCCGTGCAACCTGGGCATTTTCACTGCTTTCTTAGGGCAAGATTTAGACTGATCTTGGGGCAAGGAAAATTCCCTAGAATTTGCATTTCAGGGGGATGTTCAAGGGGGTCCAATCTACAATCTACAGAGCCAGAGGTGTTGCCCCGTAAGCCCCCATCTCCCCAGCATGGACTCCTCTTATTGCAGCACTGGAGTTTTTGAATTTCCTTCTCTCTGCCTAAGTCTAATAGATTTCAACTAGTCCCTTCACAGTCAGAATGTTAAACAGTGAGTAGAATGTCGAACAATTTACTTTAAGGATGGATTGTTTAATTTTTAGTGCTGCTTTTACTCCTAGGATACAAACTGAAATTAAAAATAATATAGACAAACTAAGAATTTAATTGGTGCACAGAGCGGGACAATTAAACGATACTAAGATGAATGAAAGGGACTCTGATGGGTCTTCGATCTAAAGAAGCTAAACTGGTACTTTCTTATGGCATCTGCCAATTAAAATGCTTTTGACAGATGTACAAGGACCAGATTCTCTAGCAGTCTCAAAAAACATCCAGAGATGGTCTCATGTTTGAGCTCTCTTTTCTTCATTCTTACCCACTTCCCCCCTTTCTGCCATCTTAATTTGGTTTTGTTGTTGCTTCCTTGTTTTTAAATGTTTCTAGCAATTTGTATATTGCCCAGAGTCATTGGGATTTGGAAGTAGTACACATTTAATAAATTATTACTATATACACAACAATGTGAAATCACAGCTGCCAGTTCTTTAGCTGGTGTTGGCGTAACGAGAGTATTACATGAGCAGATCCAAGCCATGTGGCCTTTTGCAATTGACCTATGGAAATACTGTCAATGCACAGATTTTCTAAGTGCCATTCAGAGCTTTTTGATATGGAACGCAATATGGGAGTTTTTGTGTTTATATCAGAAAATTAAAATATCTCTAAAGTGGAAACTATCAACATTTATGATGAATGGAATATTGTAGAGCTGGAATATCTGATAATAGAACATCAATGGATGCAAATCTTTAAAAATATCAAATTTATTTCTCTGAATTTGAGGTTGAAAATCAACTCATTTGGAAGTTTTTATTCCATGCTCACCCCAAAGGACGGAGTGTAGATTTTCTTTGTAGGTAACAGAAAAGTCTGATGATGCATTGTCCCATATGATTTGGCCCGAAGTGCGACTGGTTCCTTTCTGGTTCCTTTCTGTAGCATATATAACTAGATAGGTGGATAAATGTTCTAATCACATTCCAAAAATTTTTGTGGAACTTTGGTCGTATTGTTTGTGGGAAATAGCTAAGTAATTTACACCAAGAGACTGAAAAGGTGTTATTTCTCTATGCTTCAAAAACTGGATTCAGGAAATGTGCAGTTCCTTTAATTTTTGAACCTTATTGTTTGCTTATTCTTTTTTGTTTGTTTTGTTAAAAGAACTTAAAGAGATTACTCACTAGATGGCTGTATATAACCTCTCTTAGCCATGTTTTTGTGTTTGTTCTTACTGTTTTTGTTGTGCTGTAAGTCAGGAGCCTATGGGCCAGGGCCCACTACCGGGCTGTGGCCACGATTGGCTCATATTCCCATTTGTGCTAGCATTGCTGCAAGTGTCGTGCAGGCACACTTGCTGTTTGCGTTGCATGGATGCGTGTGGCCCCGTTTGCATTGTGTGGGCACTCACGATCGCGTTCACGTGTGTGTATGCATGCATAAAGGCGCCTACCGCTCCTCCCCTCCAGGCCCCCAACCCAGAAAGGTTGGGGACCTCTATTTTGTCTGTATTTTTAAAAACTGCAACAGAATAAATATCTATTTTAAAACAGATTCCAATTAGTGATGACCTTTTTTGGGAAGGCATTTGTCCCACTGGAAAGTGATCTCTAAGCTGTCGTTTCCTTTCAGCCACTTTTCTTCTGTAACTCCTACACACAAACCTACTCATCCCGGTAAACCCTTTGGGACTAAGTAGGACTATGCAGAGTGAAGGCAATCAATGGGGAACAGTAAGACATTAATGGCAGAACGTAAGAAAAGAAAAGAAAACACATCTTGTAAAATAAAGCTACATTTATCATCAATAAGAGTCTGATGTGGCGTTCCTGTGTAATATTTCACTAATTTTATGCAGATCTTTAAAGAAAAATTACCTTGTGAGGCGCTATCAAAGGACTTGATGAGTGTTTTGACCGTGGGGGTTGGTTCCGAAGAGGTGGAGGACCTCCGGCTCAGCCCCATGCCTTGCCGCAGGGCTGCCAAATCTCTTTCCACAGCATTCATGTAGTTGTAAACTCGGCCACGTTCCTCTTCTTGCCTGTGGTCAGAAGAAACCCAACAAGGCTCACTTTCAACGGTTTGACTAGCACATCATCCAGTGTGCCTGAAGGATGCAGGGACCAATTCATGGCCCCATCTTTTCAATGGCTAAAACTCTTAAGGGAAAGAACAAGCAGTAAACCCTTTACGACATGAAACATATGGAACTAAGACAAAACGGGGCCACTTGGAAACAAAGAAGGATTTTTTCATACTTTGAAGTACTGTCAAGTGCCTTCTATGCGGTGATCTATAAATATGCTCGAGAGAGAGATGAAGCTAAAGCAAAAAGAGTGTATTTTACACTTAAATTCATGTAAGTGGAGAGGGAGGGGAAATCAGGAACTGCTCAGTCAGATGCTCCCAAGAGGTGAAAAAATGGGGATACAGGGCGTAACAGGCAAGGGGCATCACATTCATATATATTTTTGCCATCCCAATGAACATTTCTTAAAACTGAAAACAGATTGTTATTGCAATACCAATTTCTAAAAACAAATTTTGAAAGGGACACAAATATAAATTCTAAAATACTTCTAATACTGAATTTTACATAATGTGTATGCATAGGGCTTAAATATCAATCATTGAAAAAAATAGAAGATTAGAAAAACCTAGATAACAAACCATTAACATTCTAGAGATGTTTTGTGATAAATATTTAGCAACTGACTGCCAATTTTCCATAGCAAATGGGGAGTTTCTGTTCCGACTCTCCAGAGATGGTTCTGACTTTGATAGCCTCCCTGTATGGGTGGTTCCTGAAGGACCCTGGTTCAAGGCCTCCTCCTCCAGCAGCACTCTAAGCGAGGAAGCCAGCAAAAGTTTTAGAAACCCAGACTTGGTTCAAAGAGAATTTTCTCTCAGGCAGTTTTTCAGAACAAAACAGATGGGAGGCTCTTACAGAAGAATCAAAAGGAAAAATTCCTAGTGAAATTAAAGAAAGAAGATCATATTGCAAGGGTCTTTTAATGCCTTTGAGCCATGATGGTAAACCTATGACACGCATGGTTCAAAGTGGCACATGACGCCATGTCTCCCGGCATGCGTGGCCTTGCATGTTTGTCTTCCGGATTTCTGGCATGCATGCATGTGAGACGATCAGTTTGTTGGAAATGCTGGTTTCTGCCAAAAAATGTCGTAAATTGTGGTGTTGTGAGCATATAACTGCAAACAGCCATAAATGTAGGCTGGCTGCCAAGTACCCAAAATATGATCATGTGACCACTGGGGGTGTGTGACTGTGGGAACTTCGAATTCAGTCATAAGTAGCCTTGGGGAAGGCTGCTGTAACTTCAAATGGTCACTGAGCAACTAATTGAAAGTTGAGGACTATCAGTAGTTTAAAAAAAGGATCTTAATACATTTATCATTTTTATAAACCTCCTCTAACAGATGAACAAAAAACCCCTGTAATTATCTGATATGCTCTTGTGCTAAACAATTGCATGCTGTGCAGCTTTCAGAAATGTAAGAAATTACCATAAATACATTATAGATGATAATTAAGTTTGATTAACATACTTGCGTGACTTTATTTCCTCGAGCTCTTTGGTGAGCTTTTCATTCTTTTCTTGAGCTTCATGCAGCCTGCGCTTCAACTCTCCAATTTCCTCCTGGGCTTCAGATTTGATGTCATTAGCAATGACCACCGCAGTCTGCAAGTCTGCTTGAAATTGGCGCCACTCTGCAGACTCTTCCTGAAAATAAGCAGGGATCAGGCAATAGATTCCTGGGCAGGGATCTGACAGGGGTGCAATTCAATCGGAAGAGACAATGGAAAGCGGCATCTTTTGAGATTGGGTACTCAGGTGAGGGGGTGGGGATGAAACCCCAAACAGCTGACACCCTGCTTGGAAACACCCGGCAGGATGGAACTCTCTCATGACAATAGCTTGCCATCTCCAACAACTCTTGCCATCTTCTTGGATTTTGCAATCCACACTTTGAGAAACAGTGGAGCAAAGGAATATGCGATTATTTTGAATGAACTTAAAATCCTATACTTCAAATCCGGTCCTAAGTAGCCCTGGGGAGGGTTGTCGTATCTTCAAATAGTCAGAAAGCCAGATACCTTGAAGAACTCTAGGATGAGAATTTGATCGGTAAACACTTTGAAAACAAGATGGTGAATAAAATTAATTAGCAAAAAATTGGTCAAAAATAAGTTATTTCAGATTAATCTTATTTTTTGATCTGGAAATGTCTTAATAGCATAATGCAATAGATAAAATGCACTTGATTACATCAAACTATTTGGCAAAATATCCCATGGCATGTAAATCAGCAAGTGTGGGCTGAATGGCGAGACAATTAAGTAGCTCTGGAGCTGGCTCAAAAGTCAGACACGTCCTTCTCAATGTTTTATCAAATTGGAGGGAATGGGTAATACAAAATTCAGTCCAGGGCCCTTCAGTGTTTATATTAGCAATGTGAATGAGAATATGGAAAGACTGCTTAGTAAGTCTGCAATAGAGCAAAATTCAATGAATAGATAGCATAGAACCCAGATCACAGAAACCACATGGAAAAAGACCATGACAGCTTGGAGAAACAGGCTGAAAATATCACTATGGGATTTAACAGAAACAAGGTGAAGTTGAAATGAAAGATAAAGATCAAGGGTAAGGGATCTTTCATTTAACAGTAATATTGTGACAAGATCTTGTGAGTTGATCAGTTACTGAATATGATCCAGCATACACTGTGGTAGCAAAAAGCCCAAGGCAGGAGCGATTCCCATTCCAGGGTGCATTTTGTGTTGATCTGATCTCCTGTTCGGTAGGAGCCGCTGGAGAGCCGAATGGATGGCCAAGAGAGGTGGCAGCTCCGAATGTGAATGTGTTCAAGTGGAGTCTTAGAGGCATCCCCACATTCCTCAGATCTGGATTCCTACCCAAAGGAGGGATCTAATGGCCTATGAGGCTTCTTATGAATTTATAAATAAAGAACTGCAGAAAAGACATGCATTCTTTTCAAACCCTTATGGAAAAGAACATGAAGGCAACTGGACTAAATAAGGAACTATTTTGTTTGAGTGGTTAAAGCACCAGGCTAGAAAATGGGAGACTGTGAGCTTAACTTCCATCTTATGCATGAAAGCCAGCTGGATGACTTTGGGCCAGTCCCCCCCTCTCTCTTTCTCAGCCCAACAAATATGATGACTTACCCTCAGCCGCCTGTGCAGGGTCTTGATCTCTCTTTCCATGTCATGCTTTTGATCCTGAAGCTTCTTAACTGTGTCTAGTAAATAAAAAATAGCACAGGATTTAACAAAAAACCTGAACGCATTTCACGCATTTATTATATTTTAATGTATTGTATTTTTCAGAGTATAAGATGCACCTTTTCCCCCCAAAAAGAGGCTGAAAATCTGGGTACATCTTATACACTGAATACAGCATTTTTTGCCTCACGAAACCCCACCCCCTTCACCAAAATGGCCACGCATACCCTTATAGAGGCTTTTAGAGAGCTCCCGAGGGCTGGGGAGGGCAGAAATGAGCAAAAAATAGGCCGTTTTTTTGCTCATTTTTGCCCCCCCCCGCCCCCAAGAGCACTCTATAAGCTTCCTAAAGGCTATCTATGCCCCCTTTTTTATGAAAAACGGGGCATTTTTTGCTCATTTTTGGTCCGTCCCCCCCCCAGGAACACACTACAAGCCTCCTAAGCTCTATTCATGCCTTTTTGGGGGGGGAACGGGCCCGCTTTTGTGAAAAACAGGCCATTTTGGGGAGGTTTGCAGAGTGCAAAAACTTTTTTTTTTCAATTTTCCTCTTCGAAACCTTACTGCATCTTATACTCTGAAAAATACAGTAACTAATGACCAAAGTTCTCTGGATAGACTGCAAAAATGTTTTATCAAAGTAAATATCCCTCATGTATAAAAATAATAATGATGTCTTGGGAGAAGTAAGTATATTAGACTGGTATCCTAAACACCTCAGAGTGTGTGCTCGATGGCAAAAGTGGTAGCCTACACCTATGACTCTTGGCTCAACTCACTTCCCTATTTTTATGCAAACACATAAGGGCACTACTGAATTTTAATATAAGTTTCTTAGCTTGTCTCCAGGACAAAATATGTTTGTTTCAGATTAACTTTTCTTGTACTGCAGTTTTGCTCAAAAGCAAAATTAAGACATTGTCTTTCAGAGTTTGGCTTTCCAGCTTATGATACCAGCTTTCAAAATCTAAGACCGCCATCTAGTGAGAAGTTCAAGGAGAAAGCAAAGGCCCAATTTGGGAAAACCTTTCTATGTCTAAGTTCCTTTTTAAATTAATGGTTGTAAAATTATTTTCTTTACATCTTAATCTCTGAGGTAGGCAAGACTGTGTCAATATTGTAACCGGCTTAGTCGTAAAATGTTAAATTTTCAATATCAATCTTTCAGTTATTATTACACCTGATTTAAAACTAATGGTAACAAATTTATTTCTTAGTCTCATTGCCTACAATACTCCTAAATCTGTGAGACAAATTTAATAACAAAATAGCACCAGATAAACAGAAACAGTCAAGGAAAAAATGATCCACTCAAGACTGGCCGGGTTGCATCTGAACAAGCCAGACAGCTTTGCTGCCTCCTGCACTGATAGGAAAGCAAGTTCAATCACTGGGGAAAACCACCTTTACGTTTTCCAGACAAGAGTGTTTTCCATCAAAGCGTTCATGGGGCTAATTTTTCAACCACTTACTCTAGTGAAAGTAAATGCTATCTCTTGTTTAGAAAAGGAAACTGAATTTTGTGTGTGTGTGTGTGTGTGTGGTTTTTTATTATTCAGTATAATGGAAATATATTTCACTTGAAAACCTATAAAATTGTGAACCTGCCTCCTCCTTCCAAGGTTTAAGATATGGTTTTCTACTTATATGCAGCTTTTTCTTTCTGAATGCAAATTTTAGAAAAAATGCTTATGAATTCCAGAGTTTCCGGAGACTGGCAATGTTTGAGAAAGGTGTAATGGCTAATACTCCTAAACTATTTTAAGATACAATTTTCCCTAACACAGATTTGAATGCCTGGTTTAAGTAAAGTTGATCTTTACCTTTACGTATTAAGAAATCCTAATGGAAGTACCGGCGGCGGGGTGGTGTGGTGGGGGAGGGGATAAAACTCTAAGATTTATGTAATTGCAATAGCACTTAGACTTATATCCCGCTTCCCAGTGCTTTACAGCCTAAGCAGCTTACAGGGTCAACCTATTGTTCCTAACAATCTGGGCCCTCATTTTACCAACCAATATCGGAAGGATGAAAGGCTGAGTCAATCTTGATCCAGTGAGATCCGAACTGCCAAACTGCAGGAAGCCAGCAGTCAGCAGAAACAGCCTGCAATTCTGTACTCTATGGTGCACCATGGCTCTTAGTTTTTTTAAAAACTTCTCAAAACTAAAAGTAATGGGTAGACTATAACAAACATGATAAATTATAAAAGCAAAAATAACTTGTAACAATAAAAGGAGTAACTAATCAAATGTATCTGCTCTGCCCAAGATGGATACCACTAAATCTATAAACTGAAGGCCGAGTGAAATGAAACCATCTTTCAAGCAATTAGGAGGAGGGGAGCCTCGGAGTTAAATCATTAGCTACATCTGAAACAACTGAGTTTTACAACTTTACAACTGGTNAGACAGACAGACAGACAGACAGACAGACAGACAGACAGACATTACAATTGAATGCTGTGTCTAATTCTAGTTTGGCTGTGGGCTGAGCCTTCAATATAGTAGAGTTGAACTAAAGATATTTTGTGCATTGCATGAAAAATCTAAATGAACCTTACCGCCCTCCCCCCCCCGATGAACTAGTAGTAGTTACATTTCATTACAGTAATTGATCAATTATGCACCATTAACCTATTATTTACCCTTAAAGGTAAAGGTTCCCCTCTCAAATATGTGCTAGTTGTTCCTGACTCTAGGGGGCAGTGCTCATCTCTGTTTCAAAGTCAAAGAGCCAGCGCTGTCTGAAGATGTCTCTGTGGTCATTTACCCTTAGTCAACCACATAGATACATCTGCTCCATGATGATCTGTCCCTAATCTGATCTTTCAGGTCTTTGTTTTTCTGCTATCACTAAGAGTACTATGGCATTGGGGACTTCCGGGGTGGAGTCACACTCAATTTTCCGTGCCAGGAGCTTGCAAAGGCAGAGCTGAGTCTCGGAGGGACCAGCGGCAGAGAGGGGACCATATACAGTCAGGAAAACAACTCAGAAAAAGAAATCCAAAATAATTTACAAGGGAGAAACCTACCAAGTATTTCAGAGGAAGCAAGAGAAATGCTAAATGGGATCTCCGCAGAGATATCTAAAAAATTTCAAGAAACTTTTGAGGAAATCATGTTAGAACTGTACAATGAAGTACTTGAATAAACAAAAATGCCAAGTTCATGGACTGAGACATTTATAACATTAATTCCAAAAGAAGAAACAGACAATCAATTGTTCCAAAACTATAGGCCAATCTCGCTAATAAATGCTGACTATAAAATATTTATGATGATCATTGCGGAAAGACTTAAAAAAATATTAAATACAATTATTCATTCGGATCAAAATGGATTCCTACCCAAGAGACAATTAAGAAATAATACAAGAATTATAACTAATGTATTAGAATACTATGAAGCTCATCCAGAAAAACAATTAGCATTAGTATTGGTAGATGTACAAAAAGCTTTTGATAATTTAAATTGGCAGTTTCTTATCACACAATTAGCTATTTTGAAATTTGGAGAAAAATTTATTCAAATGATTAAGGCAATAATGTCAAGGCGGCGTCCCTTAGTAACCAAGAAAGAAACCACTCAACTCCATTTTGCAGAATTAAGAGTACTTTTATTGGTCATGAGTAGAAAGCAGCTAAGCAAAGCAAAATTTAAGGCAAAAGTGTGCGTAATCATAGATATCAATATGTAACCCAACTCCCTCCCCCGGGTAACCCCATCCCATAGTCCAATCCGCACATCCCTCAGGTGTCATGTGGGAGACATCTTCCAAAAGCATCATCAAGTTGGTATGCCGGACAGTTGGCCTTGGCGGCAAATCCTCTATCTGCAGCATGNCCCAACTTGGAAGGGCAGAAGGACATTTCTTTCATCAGTTAAAAATATTTTGCATTTGTTTTCGGATAGACCATGTCAATTCAAGGAGGCTCTATTAAATATTTGTCCTAAAGCTTGTTTCCCTTGGAATATTGAATGTTGTCCAAACCTCATTTTCTGTTGGAATCAAATTTATCTAATATTATCCTAAACATTATTCCATCCCCTCACTACATTTCACTCTTTGCAAAAGTTTGTGGGGAAAGGAACACTACAGAGGCCTTGCTAGCAAATCACCTTGAAGAGATTCCAACCTTAAATTCCATGAAGACTTGCAGACGAGAGACAAAGAAAGAACAAAAAGCAAATTGTTTGTAGGGTAAATGGGAAGATAGAACACATGAACACACCACCACCCCAAATTTGTAAAATTATCCTTTCAGCCTCAACTCTTTTAAGCAGAAGGTACAGTAAATGGCCATTCGGGAGGAAGACTGTAGTAGGAATTGGACTCATAGAGTTCTGGTCTATGAAAAGAGATTTTTGGCAAGTATTTTTTCCCCTCTCCATTTCTGCACCAACCAAAAATACCTCCTTTAAACAATTTCAAAAGTTAGTGTCCTTTTTTCCACATTTTATTACATCATTGATTATTAAATATTTTCAGAGTATTCCAAAAAAACAAGTGTGGGAAATTTATTGCTTCTTCATTCCAGAAAGCGTTCCAACTTTGATTCCTGGTTAAACTTGCATTTTTGGAAAATCTCCCTCCTAAAAAACACATAAATTTTATATGACAACTACTAAACTCTATTTTCTCCCATTATCATTTCATAAGTGTAATGTTTCTATAAAAAAAAAAGACAGGGTAGAAGGGATCTGGCTATATTCATAGCTGTCTGGGTCTTTGCCAGTGGAATAGAAAACCACGTGAGGTTTTGCCTGTTTGTTTAAAGCTCTCTGAACCTTGCTTGCCAGTGTCAATTTCCCTCCAGATCAAGGGACAATTAGCTTATTCTAGAAGACAGACAACAGGTAAGAGCTGTTCCTTCTCTACTATACTTTTTCTCTTCAAAGCAGTTCATCCTGATTAAAAGAAAACAAGTCTAGAAGGAGAGAGGAACAATTCCTGTTTGATGGAAATAGCAGGCAAGTGCACGAAATAGTTAAAATTCGTCTCTTACTTACACATG